CCATCCCAAAGGAGCTCTCGCGAGAAGTAAGAAACTACAGAATTTTCACCTTAGTGAGCCTCCCACAGTACAGAAGCAGAACTGCGTGCAGCAGAAGGCCGGCGCGCACCGCGGGCCGCGGGCGCCCCGCCCCCTTCATCACACCATGATGCTCATGGTGTGCACCGTCGAGACGCGGCTCCATGTCTCCGGCGACAGCAGCGGCCCCGGCCGCGCGAGGCACTCCTCCAACTGCTGCAGCCTGGCGACCAGTGTGACCAGCCGCCGGCACTAAAATTTTTTACATTTTGATCCTTTTTAAAAACTTATTTTACAAATAGACCCCTAAAAAAACTTAAACCGGAAATGGTCCTTTCTAGGACGCCAGAGTGGCTGGCGCCGTACCCCAACATGGCGGCGCCAGCACTGGCGCCGTGCCCGTGCCACCGTGGCAGGTAGGCTTGTCGTGGAGGGCTGACTAGGCCGAAGGGGCGCCCAGGAGTGGCGCGCGCCCCTCATACCACGGCGCCAGCATGGCTGGCGCGCCCCTCCTCTGCGGGCCCCACCAACTTTCTCCCCCCTTCAAAATTTTCGCTTCTGCCTCCGGGCAACGGCTGGTGCCCCCCCCAGACCGCGGCGCCAGGGTGGCTGGCGCCCCCTCCTCCCCCCATCGAAGCCCTTCTGCCTCCGGGCCTCGGCGGGCGCCGTCCTCATGGACCACGGCGCCAGGGTAGCTGGCGCCGCTCTCCCCCCAACCCGAAACCCTTCTGCCTCGCGGCACTGGCTGGCGCCGTCCTCCCCAACCGCGGCGCAGGGTGGTTGGCGCCGCCCTCTGCCTCCCTGCAAATTGAAGATCGATATTGCACAAATGTACCAATTCACAGTTCCCTTTTCAAATCACAATTCACAGATTCGTACGGACTAAAACAAGTTCCAATTGCACAAATCACAATGCCAAAAGTCCATCACATAGTCCTCACATAGTCCATCACATATTCCACACATCAAACAATGCCAAAAGTCCATCACATATTCCACACATCAAACAATGCCAAAAGTCCATCCTATATTCCACACATGAAACAATGTCAAAAGTCCATCACATAGTCCTCACATAGTCCATCACATTTTATATCACATAGTGCACCACATATGTCATACTACCAACAAATAGATTAACTTCATACAAATCACTTCTTCCGTTGGCGTCGAATAGCTTGCGAGCCCGGAGTGTACCTACATTTGAAAATCCAATGTTTAAAACATTTTAAAAACAAAATGAGGGAAATCAAATAACATTTGAGAATGATAAGCTCATTTTACCTCTTTTTCGCTGCCCGAGTGGATCGCAAGTTGTATTGCGTGGGTTGCGTCCCCTGAGGCGCGTCGGGAAGCTACGACATGTCTATCTCCTCAGCGTCTGGTGCGACGTAGTCCTCATCCTCCTCGTCGTCGTCGTCATCGTCATCGCTAGGTGGAGCCGGCGCCTTCCCCTTTCCCCTCCCTTGCGGAATGCGTGACGACGACGAGCCACCAACTTTTTCACGCTCTTCTATCCTGATGGAGTGTCGAGCGGTACTTGGACGCGCGGATTGAGGTAGTGGTGGTGGTAGTCTCCGCGGTTGGTACACGTCGTCCAATCCAACCGACCTGCAACCTAATCTTGCTGCAAGTTTCCGGCACCTTTGACGAACTTTCTGCATTTCAAAAAAAAAAAGAAGTTGGTTAGGCATAACTCAAGTAATGCAAAGTGCTAAATAAATTTTACCTCTAAAACATTGCAGAGTGTGTTCTCCGTGTCCTCACCACCCCTCGGAGCTTGGAGGGCATGCCCCATTTCATTCACACTCCTAAGGAGCTCTCTCGACTGAAAACGTGAGAAGATATATGTTAGGGTCTAGGGTGCAAATGGAAATAACTTTGACAAATGCAAGAAAACTTACGACTCTGTCTCTAAGTGGGGCATGCTCCATTTGATATCCAACTCTAGTCCGGACATCATAGGGATTCCGCCCCTCATCGGAGTCGCAGTCATCCTCTATGTCGGCTTCCGTCCAAGTAGGGCGGAGGAACAGTCTATATGTCCTATGCAGCCAACGAAGGTACTCTGAGAAAAGATGATTTTGGTGTATAGTCCAAGTACGGTACGAACTAACTTTGATGCAAACACCTCTAGAGATCTAAACTGAGACTCTTTTACCAAATCAAAGTAAACTTCCCATTCCAACTGACCTATCACATTTAATATATACTTATGCCCTTGACCAACATCGTATCTCCCATAAAAACGAATCTCCACATTATCCTCGGTCCATCCAAGAACTTCTTTCACTCGTGACCTTAGTTCATCTAGAGTTGGGTGGGTGGGAAACAAAATGGTCTTCAATGACATATCCTCAAACTCAACATGTGCACCAACATAAGGTTCCACCACTCTACCACCGTAGTAAACACGAATAAGTCTATCCATCTACACCAAAAAATCAAATGTAACTTTGCAACAAAAATTAAATCTTCATTCCTAAACGTAGTCCAAACCGACATATTATAACCAATGCATAACTTAAATTGTCCCAAAGCTACTACTCCAAAAAAATATTTAATCCACCTACAACTATCAACAAGTTTACTAGTGCATTACACATCGAAATATTACAAATACTCCGTTATACAACCCAACCTAGTTCTAGTTAACTATAATCAATTTATATAATGCAACCAAAATTTTCTCACCTTCATATAATTAATGGTTAAAAGTTTAACCTATAGACTATAGCATCAAGTCCATCAAATTAAAATTACTTTCATGCCTCAACCATAATTTTTCATCCATCCATCCAACCAAACCATCCAAAAATTAACATTACCACATATATGGTTAAAAAAATAGTGACACCAATGAGTACATTGCAAACATGTAGCACTACAACAAGCCAATCCTAAGAACAAATGCTAAAAATCACAAATTTGGGTAAAAAAGGGGTTCTAGGGTTACCCACCGATCTACAAATTCAACCAATAAAAACGAAAAAAAAAGAGGGGTGAATGAAGGAGTCTACCTTTCTCTTCGATTTCCACAAAAAATCCCGCGAAAAACGAGTTCAAATGGAGTGGATTTGAGGTGGGGAGGTGAGGAGGAGAGAGAGGGGGAGAGCTGCTGCTGCTCAGCTCGGGCTGGTGCTTGGGCGAAAATGGGAGTGGGGAGGAGATAGGTGGTGGGGCCCACGGGGTTTAAGGGGTCGGCCCACAGAGGAGGGGTGCGCCAGCCATGCTGGCGCCGTGGTAGGAGGGGCGCGCCAGTGTGCTGGCGCCCCCATTCTGCCCAGTCAGCACCTCCACAACAGCCCTAGTGCCACGGTGGCACGGGGCAACGCGCCAGTGGTTGGCCGCCGCCATGTTGGGGTACGGGCACCAGCCACTCTGCGCCCCAAAAAGGACCATTCCCGGTTTAAGTTTTTCCAGGGGCCTATTTGTAAAATAAGTTTTCAAAAAGGACCAAAATGTAAAACTTTCAGCCGCCGGCACAGCACCAAGACGAGCGTCATTGGGATGATCCAGATCCCCAGCTCGAGTACCAGCATGGTGGTGCCTATCTGCTTCACGAATCCCCTTTTCTTCCGACGGATTAAGGTTCCATCTCAAGCTCCTCCGTCCTCTGCCCCTCCTCCACACGGCGCCCTTTCTTGTAATTAGTTCAAGTGTTGCTGCTGCGTTGCAACGAGTTGTAGAGTTGCTTGCGTATATATCAACTTTTCCTGTAGAAAAACATCCCAGTTATTAATTTACTCGTTATTATTGGATACTAGTTGAGTTTATTGGATACTCGGTATTAATTTACTCGTTATTATTTACATCCCAGTTTTTCCTGAAGAAAAACGAGTTGTAGAGTTGCTTGCGTATTTTTCTCGTTATTATTGGATACTAGTTGAGTTTATGATTTTTTTTTTGCATTTACTAATTTTCCATGGCAATTCCTGTCCAACGTTAACTTGGATGGGAGCTCTCCTTGTCGACAATTTGGACAATCCTTATCAGGAGTAGGTTTTTTTTAAAATATAAAAAAGAACAAAAGTTGATTTTAGTGAACAGCATTACGTATATTCCTATAAATACAATTGCAGCTTGTATACAATTATACAATTGTGTTGATCAATCATGAACATCTTGATCTGGACATTCTACAATTGAATATGGTACTCCTTCCATCCAAAAATATCCCAAAATATAAGAGATCATATGATTGTTTTAAGTATTAAATGAGCCTCATTAGATTAGATTCACTTTGAAATATGTTGTTATTGTTTTCAAACTTACAATAGTTGACTTAGGATAAATCTAGAATCTCTTATATTTTTTGACAAAGAGAGTGTAAATCTAGTATCTCTTGTATTCAGCACGGTGGGAGCAATTTCTAGATAAAGATAACGACTTCTTTTTCCTTAAGCTTCTTCTAACCATAATAAATAGGTGATCATAATTTTTGTATTAGGAAGAAAATTGACAGTTTTGGCTTGCTTTCGAATCTCCAGCACTGCAGCGCACAAGTACCCCTTCGAGAATTCAGGGGCCATTGTACAGGCAGGTACCGCTAAATAGATTTAAGTCAATTTTCCAAAAGGAAAAGGAGAAAATTTAGTAGGTCAGTACTGGACAGCGGTCGATATAGCTGATAACTGGATAAGTGTCATTCCACCAGCAGGCCGCTAGTTTTTCTCAAGCGGAAAACAAGGGCAAAACATCCCAACGAGGACATGAGAGCACGACCTTCACCAAGATACCCAACTGGCTTTCTTAATCGGCGACAATACGGAAGCTTTGCAATTATCCCCTTATAATAGGCTTTAAAAATGCAAGAAATATATGATGATTATTGCTAATAAGATACACAGATTACGTAATCTATCCAACTAGCCATAGAATATTGTAAGCGTGTGATTTCACAATTCTCTCCCTTCTTCAGTCACTAATATTTGATATTCTGAGTACGAAGACAACTTATATGATGAAAAGAGAATACATGCTGTCCAAATTTCTTCATCTTTTACATGGTTAACATTTACAGGTCAGGTGGATTCCGATGAAGGCAAATGAAATAGTAGCTGATAAGCTAGTGCAACAAGATATGATCTGAGGGCTAAAAAAATAAAAATATACTTGTCATAACAACACTCATGTTTGTTACCACCGAGATGCCCTAACATATTTGCTTTGCAAAACCTCTCTCTCTCTGGAAGAGGCAATCATAACTAATGTACTTTGTTTCTAACTGTTTGAACTAAATAAAAGTCATGAGTTCTAAAAAACGAGAGAAACAGACCAAAGCAAAAGCAAAAAAGGAGGTGGCAAGCTATTGAGAATCTTGAAAGCCACATGCCTGCAAAACGGATAGATGGGCTTCCCAACTTTGAAGATGCTCGAGTGAACCTAGCTTTTTTAGAGGAGTGAACCTAGCTAGGTATTACTGAACAGATAATTGCAAAAAAAGTTGATCACATGTAGTTCTATTACTATCTTTTAGACAACACTCAGACGAGGTTATTAAGAATGAATTGAGTGCATCCAATCTGCTTACAAGGCCGTCTGAACTTCCAGGAGGAGTGCAATCCAATAATAAGCCAGTACAATCCCCAAATAACATTGCTGCATTGACAGGGGACTGAATGATGAAAATTCTAGATCATGAGAAACATGACCTGCTGGTGAATGGAAATGGGGTATCCCCAGTTCGAAAAATGCCATATTGGTGACGCACCATATGCTGTTACGATCTGCCCATGTTAAGGTGATACAGTGATGACCTCCACATCCTGCATGCTAGAATTCCTGACAGAATACTGGAATGTCCATCCGTGGCATGCCCCAGCATGCACTCCTTTCTTGTTAATTGCAAATACAGCACCAACAAAGTCCGGGTACTTGCGGGCAATTCTTAATATAGCATCCATGGCAGCATCCCGAGGCTCCATCCCTCGTCGCATGCTCTCTACTACCTGATAACTATAGCAAATATAAGAAGATTACATGGAGCATGAGGCCATCAGTAAACTCAGCCTATCAATAAAAATACTAACGCCAGACTACATGATGCAAGGGCTAATCTTTAGAATGGATGGGGAATATTGTTATAGTTGAATGTCAATGATATCATCATCCCCTAGGATGCAAATATCAATATAATAATATAGAGAACAAAAGATGGTTGGGTATCTCTCTTACATTTAAAAAGAAAAAAAACTTGCTAGGAAGAAACTTATAGAGGTGCTTATAAACTTGTAAGGAAAAAAAGTCTATTTTACTCCCTCAAACTATTTCATTGGATCATTCCAACCTAGGTAAGCAATGATAAAAAAATCTAAAAAAAAAATATTGAGATGTAAGTTGTGATGCATCTCCCATCATCCTACAGTACTAAATTCCAGTGCGAAATACAACTTTTACAGGGAGAAACAAAAAAGAGAAATACCCTTGGGGAGTTAAGTGCTCCCGGGAAATACTGGAGGAGTAAAATGGACTTTTATCCTTCTAAGAAAAAAGTCAAAAATACTAATTTATTTTTCCATTACCACGGAAGGAAGCGCATCATAATATCACCATCACCAGTTGCTCCACATGCACCAACTTCATCATCAGCATATGCAGAAGATCCTGGTATTGGTCCATCACCTACCCTGGAACCAAATGATCAGACAATGCTCAGTGATACCTACCAAGAGATGAAACAGCAATTCCATAATGATTAAAAACCATGTCTAGCTATCAAATCCATTTTGAGAGTCAAGATGTCACGAAAAAAAAAGTAGACCTGTTAATCACATATATAAACCCCATCATTAACAAGGCAATGAAATTTCTGACCATACATTAGCATTTTATTAGTTTTTTATGCAGACATGCAGAAGATTAACAACAACATTCACCAGTGACTTTACATATACAAATACAGCATAAAAATACTAAGAAAAATATATTTCACGGTCGGAATTGTGAGTCTTGTCATTAACCATGGAAAATTGAATTAGATGATGAAAATAGATTATGCCAGAGTACACAAATTAAAGTGACATGAAACCACTCAAACGTGAGAAAAATATAACCTTAAATAAAAATAAAAGGCTCCATGATAGATGGTAACATGAAAACACCAAAAGCGCAAAAATGCTCACCTTCCTGGAATTTTGAATGTAGCACCATTGGTCGATGTGCCAGCCGCTATGCGACCCATCTTGACAAAGTCACTGTTGTTAGTTTCCGATGAAAAGAAAGTCAATTTATTTTGGATGGGCTATATGCCTATATACCTTGTCAATCACAGCCATAGAGATTGTATCATGGTTGTGGCGATTAACGATTTTTAGACGGGAGTTCATTGGCTCCAGTAAATTATTAGGTTCAAATAATCCTTGACAAATGTCCCCCTGAGTCCGCTCTAGCACACGTTTGGCAGAGGCCTTAGACTCCCCTGATGGTACATCAATAGCATTGTACGGGCCACAGCTACCAGCAGGAACAACATTTTTCCAGAAGTTAGGTTGACAATGGTTCTGTCTCCAAATTGTCCATTTTCCGATAGACTCCGGTGAGCTCAGATCAGCTGGCCCCACAAGTCCCATTGAAATCGCAAAGGATGTTGCCTTCTCTCCAACAAGAAGAGTATGTTCAGTATGGTCCATAACCAACTTTGCCGCTCTGATTCCATCCTTTACATATCTCATGGCAGCGACAGCTCCGATTTCCATTGTGGTCTGCCAATTTTCTTAAGCAAAACAAATGCAACACATTATACACCAAGAATGCTGCAACAGAAACTGCAGAATGCTCAGTGGGCTGTGGCATGAGTATGTAAAAAAGCTGTTACCCCATCCATGATGAGAGCATCTAATGTAGTTTCACCATTCTCATCTGGGCTTCCACCTGGGCCAACTGCATGAAATGTAAACCATTTAAAACCAGTACTATAGTTGCTTCATGAAGCTAACTGAAAGTAGTCAAGTTTTTGAACTGAATAAGGTCCAAGGGATTCAACCAAAATAGGTTTTGCAAGATCTATATTATTGGGTTTAAAGCACTGCACAGTAAGACAAACTAGAAATTATTATTAGAAACAGAGGAGGCAAACCCCAATTCGATATTCTTATTCAAAAGTGAAACAAGAAATACAATGTATTTTCTGTGTATTATATTTCAGTGCAAATAATTATGTGCAACATAATAGGAACTGCTGATAATGTCATCTTCACGAGTTCATGATGAAAGACAGGAAAAAGATTGTAAAAGGTGCTTTTGTAGTTCGGTAAGCGCGATGCAAATATGTTATATCGTGTTTCAATCAAAACTACACATATTCTGCCTGCTGCCTGAAAATAGTTGTTCATCAGAATTGTTTTTTTTTATTACTCTCGTCAAACATCACTTATCTAATGGAAGCCAGGGGTGAAATTCCTCCAAGTGGAAACGAAACTCTTCTTGAAGTTTGTTATCGCAGTTTTTGACCCAACCAACCAGATTAGTGTATCAGCACTGAGCACATTGCATCACCACTGTTCCCAATTAAACTCAGTGAACTACTACAATCAATCCCACACCCCAGGTTGAATACAACTGACCTGTGCCATCACAGCGGAGCACCTCGCAGGCGGAGCAGCCGGCGACGACGGCATCCACGGCCGAACAACCTGCGCCGCCACTGGCTGACACCACCTCCCAGGCCGCCCTGACCGCCTCCCGGAAAGGCCAGGTGCTCACCACCACCGGAAAAATCCCTCCCCCTTCCTCCGCGCCTCCGCCGTCATCAGCCACCGCCTAGTCAAATCCCCCCCTCCCCCCAAACCCCCCATTAAATCCATCACATCCCCAATCCAAACATCACGGAACCAACCTAAATCGAATCAACACTCACCAAGCACCAGCTGAACCGTAGCAGTAGGAACCCTAGGAGAAGAAGCCGCGCGTAGCTCCTCCGTGACCTTCCCATGGAAAGCTGCGATTTCGCGGCGGGGTTTGGTTGTTCTACGGTGGCGTGAGTCCCTTCGAGCTCACCCACATGTCAGTGGCCTGGCTTGGTCCTCCTCTTCCACATGGGTCCCACATGTCGGTGAGGTTTCGTGGTTGTTTAGGTTGTTGTTTCACTCGCTCTGGCTCCGAGGCGCTCCCCCCCCAAATACCCTAGCGGCGGCGGAGATGGAGGAAGGCGGCGGCGGGGAGGAGGCGGAGAGGTGGCCGTGGTGGGCGGGGGCGAGCGCGGCGCAGGTGGCGGCGGGCGTGGCGTGGTTCCGGCGGGGCAGGGGCGGCGCGGCGTTCGCGATGCCGTTCAAGGCGTTCGCCATCGCCACCCTCTTCGTCGGCGCCGGCGCCACCGCCGTCACCGCCGGAGTTCTCGCGGCGGGCGTCGGATCGGTAAGACGAATCCTCCAAAAAAAAAAAAAATCTCACAGATCGCACCATGTGACTACTGGTTTTGCACTAATGTGTTCCGTGACTCCGCGTAAACGCAGGTGGACGAGATGAAGGGCGTGGGCGCGAGCATCCGGAGGTGGATGGGAGCTCCTCCACGACGCCGAGTGGAGGGAGGAGGAGACCCATGACCAGCACAACGCTAGTGCGTGTTCAATTGTATCGATAGATCCCAGGCATTGTATGTGCTCTAGAAATCCTCAGTTTTTTGCTTCACATCGTCTAAGGCCCAAATGTGAAATGTTCGTCTGTTTGAACTGGAATTGGAAAAGAAAAAAGCAATAATCGCCTCGATACTTCGTTGCAAATGCTCACAGCGAAAGCTTTGTTTGCTCTTGTGAACTTGCCTGTCAAAAATTTGAATACTCCTTGTCTTTGGACTTTTGGAGCATTACTGATCTGACGGTGGCAGCGGCAGCGAGCGAAACGACGGTTTCAAGGAGAGAGCGCCTCCCCTCCCTTGTGCACGACAGGAAATTCGCCCACTACTCCACTAGTGATCCCGCGAATGGCTCGGATTAGAGGGCGCGCGCGACGGAGAACCGGAGATATCCGTTATTTTCTTTCTTATTATCCCTTTTTCTTTTCTTTTACGCGATTCGGTATCCGTTATTTCCTTTCTAATTATCTGTTTTTTATTTTTACGTGATTCTTCTTGTACTAGCAAAATGCCCGTGCTTCGTGCTTCGCTACGGGTATAATGAAAGTTAAATGCTATAAATACACAGTTAACATATATGTTATAATATTCCAACATAGATAAATTGTTTAATGCATTGTTAATGATAATCAGGACTGATAAGAAACAACTATTGCATATTGATATATTTATATTGTCATAACACACGCTCTCAACTTTTGCATGGCAAGCGTCTGATATAATTTCTAAAATCGAACACGGACTCGCGTGGAGACAGATCGTTTCACGGCTCATGCGTGAACGATAGATGGTGCGAACTCTAATATATCGTCTTTTGCAGATGACGAAAAGAAAATAATAATTATGTTTAATTTTTGAATTAAAAACTGGTTCATTAATTATGTTTAATTTTCGAATTAAAAACTGGTTCATTACAAGATTTCAGAATCACTAAAAATCAGTTGAAGAAAGAGGTGTAAAACTTTTGATTTTTTAACCATCGGATGTGCATGGTCCGTGCTAGTGGCACTTAATATCTGTTGAAGAAAGAGGTGTAAAACTTTTTTGATTTTTAACCATCGGATGTGTATGGTCTGTGCTAGTGGCGGAGAGAAAAAATAAATATATGTTGAAGAAAGAGGTGCAAAACTTTTTTGTTTTTTTAACCATCGGATATATATGGTCCGTGCGAGTGGCGGAGAGAAAAAAATACGCGCAAATAGGATTTGAGACATGGGACACAAAGTAGACTTATTCCGAGTAATAATAAGTACAAAAGTTTTTTGATAGGGTAATCTGGCCTAGGAGAGGCAAAACTTTTTTGATTTTTTAACCATGGGATGTGCATGGTCTGTGCTAGTGGCGGAGAGAAAAAGATTGCGCGGAAATAGGATTTGAGATGTGGGACGCAAAGTAGACTTATTCCGAGTGGGTAATCTGGCTTAGGAGAGGCAAAACTTTTTTGATTTTTTAACCATCGGATGTGCATGGTCCGTGCTAGTGGCGGAGAGAAAAAAAATTACGCGAAAATAGGATTTGAGATGTGGGACGTAAAGTAGACTTATTCTGAGTAATAATAAGTACAAAAATTTTTGATATGGTAATCTGGCCTAGGAGAGGCTCATAGAGCGTGCAAATAATAATAGTTTATTTTTTAACCATACAGCGTGGCAAAACTTTTTTGATTTTTTAACCATACAGCGTGCAAATAATAATAGGCGTAAAAGGAGGGGACGGTGGGAATTGAACCCTGGTGGCAGATTTCCTTTCCTAACCATGTGGGCAAGCTGTTACTTTTGCTTGGAGGTTACATGAAAGAACACATATTCTATATCAGCTGCGATTTTTTACTAGATTGGAAAATGTCTGATCGGACTATTAAGCGGATTAAAATATATTTTAGTAACGGGATCAGGATGATGGACGAAAAAATATGAGGAAACCTTATGTATTTTTTTATTAGATATGGATACGTAACAAACGTGTCCGTTCTTCACTAACTTTTTTTCCCTTTTTTAACGTGATTCTCATGGTACGCATGAAGCTTTTTTCTTTCTTTTCCAATTTTTATTAATTTCCTTTTCTTCGTTAGTCTTTTCTATAGTTTTATTAAAGGAAACTTTTTATATAAATTATTTATGTGGAAACTTTCTACACATAGATTTTGTGTATATAAACTTTCTACATATAGACTTTATATATATAAACTTTCTATATAAAAAGTCTAAATGTAAATAATTTATATACATAAAGTCTATATCTAAAAAGTTTCCACGAAAATATTTAATATAAAAAATTTTCTACATATAAACTTTATAGATTAGAATTTATATATATGCAACTAAACGTTTAGTTTATAAATTTCTATATAAATAAAAAATTGTTTATCAACTACGCATATTTTTGGAAATGAATAGAATCCAATATCCAAACAAACCTCGTAACATAAAAAGCATAAAGTATACGTGGATTTTCTTTAACTGAAAATCAGTGCTAACAATTACTAAAGGCATAATTATAGACGTATAATTAGGTCTGAAGAATGATGGAATGCTATATCGGTTCGTGAGATTCCCTCCTGGTGAACATTCGTGGGGTAGACCCACCGCACGAAGGCACGGATCCGAATTGGCGAGCGGACAGAGGGAAGTCACTGATATGTGGGCCCTTTTTCCAAGCGGATAGTGGAACGCCACTTATATGTGGGCCCTCTATTTGAGTCCATAGGGGAAAGTCTTTTCTACACCTCAGTGCCGCATCACCCAAGCTACTAGACTTAGGATTGCTTTGTGATGCGTGCACAAGTACTCCCTTTGGGCTGATAATACTTGCCATTTTAAATAAGAGTGAGGTCAAGATCCGCAGCGAGGGGTTGTGGGGCGTCGAGGGTACTCACATGCCGGCCTCGTCAGGAGGTCCCACCCCCGAGCATCAACTAAGAATGAGATCTGTGTAGGACAAAGAGCCTGTCGGACGGGGCGGCGCGGCTATATCATTGGACATCCCCATTCCATCCGCGGGTGCTACCGTACACTCTTGGCCGACTGCACGGGGATGACCTGCCGCGGTCCACTCCGCGTGCGACGTTGACGCCATCACCGCCGGGCGCGCAGCGGTGAATGCTTGTGTGGACAAGGTGCAGATTGTGTGGTCGGGACGGTGGAGGAGGGGTATCGAGCAGCCGAGAAGGGATTATGTCCAGCGTCTATAACAACCATACTTACGGAGGTGCGAAAACGATAGAAATACAACACAAAGCGTGAAAACGATAGATGGCACGCGGCCTAGCTAGGTGCAAAAAAAAAACCGCGTCCAGCGGACAGGGCCGTGGATCTTGGGGATGACTAATTGGCGCGTATAAGCCATTTCACCAAGTCTCGCGCACGAGGTGCAAGGCAGCTATGGGTTCAATCTTCTGTTACGCGTTTCTCGTTCCACATGACAAAAAAAACTCCCGTGCATATTTCCTTTTTTCCGGCAAAAAAGTTCTCTATGCACGTTTTTTTTTCTTTTTTTCTGTTTTAAACTAAGGTTTGAATTTTTTTAAACTTAGATTCGAAAACTTTCAAGTACAGATTTGAAAGTATAAATTTATATTTGAAAACTTTTAACTTAGATTTGAAAATTTTCAAGTAAAGATTGAAAAATTTTAACTCAGATTTAAAAACTTTTCAACTTAGATTTAAAAACTTTCAGCTCGGATTAAAAAAATTCAATTGAAGATTTGAAACTTTCAACTCAAAATTAAAAAATTTCAAGCCGAGATTTGAAAACTTAACTCGGGTTTGAAAACTTTCAACTCAAATTAAAAACTGTCACCTCAAAATTCAAATTATTCAAATTTGAATACTTTTGTCTCAAAATTTGAAAACATTCAGCTTCAATTTAAAAAACTTTCAATTGAAATTGGAGGCAAAAGATCCAATTTATAAAATATATCTTCAAACTTTTAGAAAAACAGGAAATTGTGTTTTGTGAAAAAAAAAGGAAGGTTATCTTAGTAGGTCATGTTCTTTGGAAACAAATTACTTAATCACAATTTTTTCCCCGCGCGCGTGCGGCAGTTTCACCTAAAAAAAAAGAAAAAAAAAAGAAAGCACGTTCGAGCCGCGCGCGAGGGTATAGCCCAGAAACGCGCGCTGCCTGGACTCCCGGAGCGTACGCGCTAGAATTCTCGGTGGAACCGGACCCGGCGTTCGTGGGGGCTGGTGGTGGCGAGGCGGTTAGTCGTGCCGCCGCGAATCAAACCCGACCGTCCGATCCCTCCACGACGGCTCTCAGTCGCGCCACTACGCCGGTTGCAGGAACCCCACACTGAGAGTTGAAGCACGAAGCATTGTCGTCGTCGTCCCCGCTCTCGCATAAGAACACCACTCCCTCCCACCACTCCCTCCCTCCCTCCCTCCCCTGTGGCTGGGCTTTTGCGTTCGCGAGCGCGCGTGGGGCGGCGGTTGTGAGGGCAATGGCGAGAGCACCTGGTGGCGTTCGCCGAAGGAGCGGGAGGAGGGGCGCGGGCGGCGGCGGCGCCGGAGGCGGAGGCGAGGCGCTGCGGAAGGGCCCGTGGATGGCGGAGGAGGACGAGGTTCTGCTGGAGCACGTCCGCACCCACGGCCCCATGGACTGGAGCTCCATTCGATCCAAAGGCCTCTTGCCGCGCACCGGCAAGTCCTGCCGCCTCCGCTGGGTGAACAAGCTCAGGCCAAACCTCAAGAGGTAAGCGCGAATCCCCCCCTCTCTTTTTTCGATCTTCTCCCTTCCCCGGTTCGATCAGTTCTCTCGCCTCCTTGATTTTTTTTTCTGGTCAAGTTCTTCGTGCATTTGCAAGTTAGAGCGGCACGGCAATTGCAGTGTTCCTGGTTGTTCTCACTTCTCACCGGCAATGGCACCACTGGTTTTACGGATAGAGAGTAACATTAGTTCTGTTAAAACTTTAGAAGTGTTTGCTTCCTCTAACCTAGCGTCCAGCCATGCGACTCGTGTTTAATTTTCTTTGTTACTGCTTCACTACTCTGGATATTTGTGTGGGTTTCGAAACAAATTAAGTATAGGAAGTAAATGTTTCGTCCTTACATGCTTAAATTGAACTGGCCAGATGAATTTTTGCTTGTAAACCCACTACTCCATGATAATGTGTTAGTAAACTCTATATCTGCGGTCTGTGCAATCTTTGATCGCACTTGCACTGAATTGTGTCTCTGTAATGTTCCTATCTGCTTATCTTTGATCAAACTAGTCGATGGAAATGTTCATGTATAACCCACCTTTTCGAGTTCTTTTTCCCTCCTTTAAAAAGCGGTTGCAAGTTTACTGCCGAGGAAGAGAGGGTGGTGATCGAGTTGCAGGCGCAGTTCGGGAACAAGTGGGCGAGGATCGCGACCTACTTGCAGGGCAGGACGGACAACGACGTGAAGAATTTCTGGAGCACTCGGCAGAAGCGGCTCGCCAGGCTCCTCCGCGGGCCTCTCCCTGCTGCACGGCCCAACAAGCACAACAGCGGCAAGGGCAAAGCGCCCTCGTCATCTTCTCTCGACTCCCAAACAGCCACGGTAATGCATGCCTTTCACTGAACCGCTGATGAATCATCATCAACGTTACGAATTTACTGCGCTCGCTCCACTGTGAATTTGAGTTTCTTGATGGAAACTTGCACTGATGACACTGTACTTAATTTCTTGCAGTTCCACCAGAGCTCGGCCTCCCTGGATCAAGCTTCATTGGAGGGCAACTCCCTCGGCTGGCAATGCCGCGAGGCTGCACCGTTCATGGGATATGATCAGGCATGCTCCGGGTTCTTCGCTTTCGAGGGGCCACTGCCGCTGCAGCTACTACCACCCGCCGACGGCGAGGCGAGCTCGTCCAATGCAGCTCAGTCGGCGCCACCACCGCTGCTGTTCGACCAGCCTCCGTACCCTCTGATCAACTTCCCTGGATGGCCGGAGAGATACGTCGACGTCGGCCACGGGTTCGTGGACGCCGGCGCCATGGATGGCCTCGCCTACCAGGAGCTGCTTCCGATGGTGCAGTCGGTTCCGATGATCATGCCGTTCTTTGGCATGGAGTGCGCGCATGACGCCGTCAAGCACGGGGCCTTTGACGACCTCCCGCCGAACATGTTCGACGACGCTGTTGATCAGCCCCCACCGCCGCCGCCGCCGCCGCCGCCGCCATCGCCATCGCCATCGCCGTCGCGCGACGACGTGTTGTGAACTTTGCGGGTTGGTTTGCTCGATGGAGAGTGACGCAGTTTGCGTGATTCTTTTCTGGTTGCCAATTTGGATATCTTTGTGCCTGTGACAGCTTACAGCATAGCCTACTTATACTGAACCTTCTAACGTGTCGGATTAATGTGACAATGTTTCTAAGTGTGGATGCAGAATGTAAGGTGTATATATAAGTCGTACTACCAAGTTAACAACGATGGCGCGTGACCGCTTGCTAATTGTTATGCAGTACGTACTACTATAGATTATAGGACACTAATTCAGTGAACTACTTAGCGATCATCACTGCTATTTCACATGTAACAAGTTACACGTGGAATATTGTCGAACTTATTTTATTTTTTATAAAAATATTTTGTTAAAAAATTGCTATAAATTGTATTGGCGAAGAGCAGTTTTGGCCTAAAAGATATAAAGAATGCAAAAACTATTGACAAATGTAGACGTTACCAGTTTTTTCTACTACCATGTTTTAATTAACAAACCAAATGGAAGATCATGAAACCAAGGCAGGCAGGCAGCAGACATCCTTGCCTTTCATCTGCACCGGTTTATCCTAAAGACCAGAAAACCAATCTAAGCCACACAATCACTTCCACCAACGGCCCAGATTACCTCATCCTCACAGGGGGAGCACACCAACCGGCAAGCCGGCAAGGATAAAGGCCCACGACCACAAGCTTAGCAAGCCCTCTCTCGGTCGCGTGGCTTGAGCGGTGGTGACACCGCTCGCCTCCGTCCGCCTCGCCTCCACCGAGAGGTTCTCTCTGCCGCCGATTCAGGTACGATCGCTTCACTACGCCCCAATCTTTCATGGCCGAGACTCTCCTAAGGACCGGTTGGATCGCGTATGAGCCCCCCGTGATTTTTCTGGAGGGGGGAAACCGAGTGTATTTTTTGCTTGTTCTGCGCCGTTTTCTTGGCTGTTCTACCGATCTTGTTGGTTGGATTCTTCGGAGGAGAGGTGGAGCCTTGTCCTGATTTGGAGGGGAGGCGAAGTTTTCCAGGGTTGTGTAGGACACCTCGTGGGGGTTCGCGGTGGCTGGAGAAATATTCGTGATCAGCTCTCCTTAGGGGATTTTTTTTTTTACCTTAGTTGTCTGCTCCGCTCGAAACACAGAGTTCGGTGGGGATGAGACTAGATTTTCCTTCGATTTTCCGGATGTTTTTGAGTTGGGTGCCAAATATGTTAAAAGTTCAATGTGGTCAGGCACTTGCGCATGTGGTGGAGTCGTCCTTCTACGATTTTTTGTTGGTTTTATATTTGTTGTAAATGCGTAAAATTAGCTCCCATTTTAGTTTGTTTAACAGAACTGATTACATTTTATATTACTAGCATATTACTGATCGTTGAGTACGGAGTATATATATTAAAATTACAGTGATCCTTGGCCTTTTTACTCTCTGTTTGGCATTTCGGTGGCTGTTCAAAAGCCATAGTTTATTTCGATGTTTGATTAAAAATTGTTACTATAAGCATTTTAATTATAGTTGTAACAGGGAAACAAAGTCATACTAGGATTAGTAAAATTCCCCTATTTTGAGTAGACTCCAATGCACAATATGTCACCGACTCAACCACTGCAGACTGACCCTTAGTTCTACAGATTTACAGGGAGATTATCTTGTGATCTGTAAACATGTTTGGGCGTGTACCGAGGAGTAACAACACCAAGTACTATGAGGTTCTTGGAGTTCCTAAAACTGCAAGCAAGGATGAGCTAAAGAAGGCATACCGGAAGGCTGCCATAAAAAACCATCCTGACAAGGGAGGGGATCCAGAAAAGGTGAGGATGTGCCAGTGTGACATGCAATTGTTTGAATTCAGAATCTCTATTTTGTTTTTACATTTTTATGTGTTTTACAGTTTAAAGAATTATCACAAGCGTATGAGGTTCTCACTGATCCTGAGAAGAGAGACATATATGACCAATATGGGGAGGATGCTCTTAAGGATGGAATGGGAGGAGGCAGTGACTTCCATAATCCATTTGACATATTTGAGCAGTTTTTCGGGGGTGGTGCCTTTGGGGGTAAGCAACATATGTACCCTGAAATTTTCCAGCACCCTCAACATTTTTTTGTTTGAACTTTTTTTTTAAAAAAAAACAGAATTATTCATGCTAACTTTTATGGTTAACAGGGAGTAGCTCAAGAGTACGCAGACAGAGACGTGGTGAAGATGTGGCGCATACTTTGAAGGTGTCTTTAGAAGATGTGTATAATGGATCTATGAAGAAACTATCATTATCACGAAATATTCTGTGCCCAAAGTGCAAAGGGTAAGCCTTTGTATGTTATTGCTGCACTTCAATTTGCTAACTGGAGGAAATGATGTACTCATTATTTGGCAAAATTATTACTTATCATGCTCTTTCACTTTAGCATTATCGATACATATGATTCCATCTAGTTGAAAATAAGGTGTAAATAGTTATCCCGAAGTGTTCACTGTAATTTCTCTATATTGCTAGTTTAAATCCATCAACTGGTGATTGTATTTGTTTTGTATTTTCGTGCGCACTTATTTCTATTATTTTTGCATGTACTTGAGATGCAGGGAAACCCAGTTAAATGTTTCGGTTACTGGATAATCCCTTAACATTATCCCATTCCATTTATGTTCTGTTTCAACCTATCCATAAAAAAAATCATTAATGAGAGACCTAATGCTAACGGATACATGCTTGTGTCAGCCAACAATGTTAGAAGATATCCTTACATTTATCCACACTGCTTCTATTCTTGAATCTTTTATTGAATTAAAAAAAGGTGCAAACGTAATTTTATAGAACCTGAACCATCCCCAAAAGTCCAAAACTAGTTTAATAAGGGTATCTTGCACATTTGGGGAATATGTTGGACTCCATGCTAAAGCCAATGTTTATTATAGTCCTACATATCTATACTCCTCTAAAAGACCCCAATGGTGGTGGTGAGTATTGAATTTGCCACCACCCACCACCACTGCATGTGGGTCCCCCAAATAGTGAGGTAGGTGGACTTTTGCCCCTTCCCCAACCTCAAGCCATCAAACAGAAAATTTTTCTTTTGAAGTGAGGTAAAAATGATGACAAATAATATGACTAGAAGATTTTACAATGAGAATAATTTTATTAATTTTTGAGGCTGTAAAGTGTATGGAGGAGTTCTCTTCATGTTGCAATGCAGGGGCATTCAGATAGTATAATTATAGAATAACATATGTAGTATGTAAATCCTGATTAAGATGGCTGTGAATTGGCCTATATAATGCCAAGCTTGCAATACCGACTACCGAATACCTAGTCTAATTTTGACTGCCTCTGTAAATACGACATCTAATGTGCAATGAAAGCTAACCTCCCATTTTATAAAGAAATAGACAGTGCACCCAATCAAATAGACAGTGCCTATTGAAATGCTTCATCCCAGTAAAGCTTTAAAAATAAGTCCAGCCCAGTTAAAACACATTACACAGATCAAATACATCTATATGGCCGATTTCAACCCAGGTTTATTCACCATTCTGAGGCGTAGCTAGCTCTATCACCATAATTAGTTTAGTTTATCATTCAAAATATATACGAGGCAAAATTCATGTTTTTTTTGTGGCCCATTTCAATCCAGGTTTATTCACCATTCTGAGGGGCCCTGTAAAATTCCTTCTATAAATATAGAAGAGGCAAAGGTTTTGCCCTTCATTCAAAAAAATAATTAGTTTATCATGTTTTTTTTATCTGTTTTGAGTGTTGACTGTAGTGTTTCACCTTTTCCATCTTACTCTCTGCTTTCAGAAAAGGGACCAAATCTGAGGCTCCAGCAACATGCTATGGTTGTCATGGTGTAGGAATGAGGAATATAATGCGACAGATAGGACTAGGCATGATTCAACATATGCAGACTGTCTGTCCTGAATGCAGAGGATCAGGTATGCAACAGTTGCTCCAATTTTTATGCTATATCTTGCTGCAAAATTGTGATTTCTTAGGAGCCTGCTTTATGTTTGTAATGTTCTATACTTGATCAGGTGAGATCATAAGTGACAGGGATAAATGCACAAACTGCAGAGCTAGCAAAGTTATTCAGGAGAAAAAGGTGCTTGAGGTTCATATTGAGAAGGGAATGCAACATGGCCAAAAAATTGTATTCCAAGGTGAAGCTGATGAAGCTGTAAGTTTATTTTGTCCATTTATACTAGTATACATACTTGCAGCCACATATTCATCCATCCTTGTGCTAATGAATATCTGTGCATGCACTACTTTCTTTATCTAATATTTTGCACTGTGTGTTTCATGCTGTTGCAGCCTGATACAGTGACAGGAGATATAGTATTTATCTTGCAAGTTAAGGTACATCCAAGATTTAAGAGGAAATATGATGACCTGTTCATTGAGCGCACAATCTCTTTAACTGAGGCATTGTGTGGGTTCCAATTCATCCTCACTCATCTGGACAGTAGGCAGCTCCTAATCAAGGCAAATCCTGGCGAAATTATTAAACCTGGTATCTCATCCCCTTAAAATGCTAGCCTTTTTGTTTGCCACTTCGTAATTCTGTTTTTTCTATTCAGATTCTAATCAGTTGCAGACTTTTTTAAAGAATTAACTCAAATATTTTCCAAACAGGTCAACACAAGGCCATAAATGATGAGGGAATGCCACACCATGGCCGGCCTTTCATGAAGGGCCGTCTCTTTGTGGAATTCAATGTTGAGTTCCCTGAATCTGGTGTACTCTCCCGTGACCAATGCCGGGCACTTGAGATGATCCTACCACCTAAACCTGGGCACCAATTATCAGATATGGACCTGGATCAATGTGAGGAAACTACCATGCATGATGTGAACATAGAAGAGGAGATGAGGCGCAAGCAGTATCAAAGGAAGCAGGAAGCGTACGACGAAGATGAGGAGGAGGATGCTCCAAGAGTACAGTGTGCTCAACAGTAAGAAGTGTCACTTTCTGGCGCAAGTGATGATACTCCATGTAAACTAAGTAGTTTTTGGTGAGACTGTTCATTTTAGTGTATTTTGTACTAGTTAAATTAAATAGTGAATGTCTAAGTTGTGTCGTTTGATATATAAGCTTGTGCTAACAACATAAGGCTTTCTTGGCCTTCATAAGATATACTCCTACCTAGGAGAAAGTGGTGGATGAGCATTCGTTTCTGTTTTTATTGGTAATGAACATATTTACATGTTGTATTGACTGAAAATGGTATGCTGAAGGGTCTTCGATGCGTCTCTGTTTGGGATGCTGAGTACAGTATGAAGCAGTCAGCAAAAGTAGCTAGGAAGCGACAAGCCTTTATGCGATACTCCTAAAAGCTAATTTGTGATTTAGAGCTGAGAAGTCCAAAGAGGCAAGGACTGGCCAGAATTCCAGAAACTAGTTGGTCTCTCTAAAGTAAAACCACGTTGCAGGATTCACAGTAATTTCTTACTACTAAAAGCTAACAGTACAGAGTTCTAAGTCTGCAGGTCAGCGGATCATAAAGTAAACCGTATTTCGGCAACTGTGATCATTGTCTGCCAATGTAATAAGTAATGTGAATCATGCAAAGGGCCAGAAAAACATTGACGAAAATACTCCATTATCCTGAATCTTGAGGCCGTGTTTTGTTCTTCAAATTTTCTTTGATGGGGATCAAATGGCTGTTCATCTACCTTTATCCTTGGAAGCTCAGGCGGAAGCTCGTTTACTTATGTTTTCTCATATGAATCTCCTATCTCCCGCTATTGGGGATCCTATTTGCGTACCAACCCAAGACATGCTTATCGGACTTTATGTATTAACGATTGGAAACCGTCGAGGTATTTGTGCAAATAGATATAATAGTTGCGGAAACTATCCAAACCAAAAAGTAAATTACAATAATAATAATCCTAAGTATACGAAAGATAAAGAATCTCTTTTTTCTAGTTCCTATGATGCACTGGGAGCTTATAGACAGAAACAAATCTGTTTAGACAGTCCCTTGTGGCTCCGATGGAAACTAGATCAACGCGTCATTGGGTTAAGAACTTTTTCATCACATCAAGTCCTTGTTTGGATCCAAACTTTTTCTTCAAACTTCAACTTTTTCATCAGATCAAAACTTTCCTACACATAAACTTCCAACTTTTTCGTCACATCGTTCCAATTTCAACCAAACTTTCAATTTTGGTGTGAACTAAACACAGCCTGAATTAGAGCATTGTCTCAGGACATCACATAAGCTAGTATGTGAGATAAAAGAGAGAAGAAAAAGAGTAAAGTGCACGGGCGGTCCTTAAACTTGTAGGGGTGTGTCATCTAGGTCCTAAACTCTCAAAATACATATCCAAGTACAAGAACTTGTCATAGTGTGTCATTTAGGTCCCACATCGCCCCAGCCCCTATAGGATCCTACGTGGCACTAATGTGGCATGCCACACGGACAAGACGTGGCATCATTTTGACTAACAAATGAAACCCATTTATCTTTTTCTTCTTTTCTTATATTTTCCTCCTCCTCTTTTTGTTCTTTCTTCTCCTTTTTTTTTTCTTTTCCCGAGTAGAAGAAAGGAAAAAAAAAGAAGAATGAGAAGAAAACGAAGAAAAAAGAAGGGAAAAAGAAGAAAAGGGCATATCACGACCATATGGCATGCCAAATCAGCGCCATATAGGATTCTATAGGGGTTATGTCGATTTGGGACCTAAATGATACACTTTGACAAGTTTTGGGACCTAGATGTGCATTTTAAGAGTTTGGGGACCTATATGACATAACCTTACAAGTTTAAAGACTGCCTATGCACTTTACTCGAAGAAAAACATAGATGGAGTCATCCATGTGCAAGGGACCCCTCCACACAAACTCTAAAAAAGGAAAAAAAATAAAGAATGTATTGGACAAACAAATAAAATAAAAATATTAAGATTAGTGTGCTAGAGTTAGTGCAGTTGTGATGTATTATCCCCGGCTACTCCAAATTAGTGACGATAATTGTCTTTTCTTTAAACTTTCTCTTACTAGCTGAAATTCCAGCTGTGACCCACCTGTCTTAATTATCTTCTCCGTTACCAAGAGCAGAGGCTCTAGTAATTCACAATCCCTGCTCTTTGTGGTAGCTGCTAATGCTAACGCATCTTCCTGTCGCCGCCATTAGCCCCCTTTTTTTTCAGGTAGATATGCCTGAAACTGAAAATTCTCCAAGTTTCACAGCCAATCTGCCATAATTTCCGGCTCATGGTGGCGGCGCGGTTCAGGATTTAGCTCGCCATGGTCTGTGCCTGTGTGCCGAACTCTTTGATACGGATGGATTGTGTCCGGTTTTCGCCAAACCGTTGCGGCCAACTTGCTGTTGACCGCATCATATGAATACAAAGGAAAGCCGCCAAGTAAAAGCCGTAATCTGCCATTGCCCCGTACATGTACTACTACTTCCAAGTTCCACCGAGAGTTCAGGTGTCCAGTCCAACTTGAGTGTTTAGAGTTGAGGCTTCTACTAGACACATGGTAGCATGGATCACAATGTAAACACCATTCTTTGCGTGTGGACATGGTAACTTGGGGGCTTGCAGTTACTCATTGGTTCATTGCTTATTTCATTGATCAACGTAACTAGGAGTTGGCGATGGTACAATATAGTAAGCTGAGTGGTCAAGGTTGAAACGCCTCATCATTAATTGGTTATGTCAAACTACGCACACTGCATCATCACTGGTTAAATGCTTCATTGGTTATGACAAAATTACTGCTGGTTGTACGGCATTGACACCGCCCGGCGTCTTAAATTACGGTCGTTAACTACAGCCTGTTGCGTTGCACGCTCAGCTGGACATTGGAGATGATTAATATGCGGGGAGATATCATCGGGAGGAGTAGATTAGGACTCTGCAGGAGCATATCTATGCATGGCCGGTAGCATGCGGTTACTGTACTCATTGACGTGATGGAGAATTAACCAATACAGTAATTTTCCGTTAGGGCAGCTTGCCAGCTTGGTACTTAGCATTAATTACCTGCCGTTGGCATCTAGGGCAGCTCGTACCTGCTACTCTACACTGTAGCAGCACACTGCATATATCTGCAGTACTGCAAAAAAGAAAGAAAAAGTTCAGACTAAACGCTGCAATTGTTAAGCTTGCCTTAACGAGGAGCAATAACTCAAGCTCTTGGTACTACTACCATTCATCTGTTCTTGGGCTATCGCATTTAAGCTGTACTGTGTCTCGGCGCTAGGATAACCAATGCGAGTGTAGTTTCGTCGCCGTGCATTAAGAACTGGTACTACTAATACTACCCAAATCTTACAATGCTAAAGCACGTACGAATTGAAGACTGCGACTCTCTGCGAGGAGGACTCCTCCGGTCGCTGCTATACGGAAGAGGTTGGATACAACTTTGACGCTTGACGGTGAATTGTTACTTGCAAGCAGTAGCTAGCTAGGGGTGTACTGCTGCCTGTATATATAAGACGACGCTTGGAGAGAGTCGACCGTCTACTGGCCTTAGTGGGCAGCAGTATGCAACGTATATGTACGTGCACGTACACCGCCCGGGTTCGTCGTAGAGAGAGTATATATAAATGCGTTGGACAGGTAGACACGCTCTGTAACTTAGAAGTAATGCCCTTGGTGCCGGGACTTTTGTACCAGGGCTACCGTCTAGTACTACTAGGATGATCAATGGAGGTCTCGTTAGTTCACTGGCTAAGGTTAGCTCATAGTACAGGATTAGGGCCTGTTTGGTTTCTAGGGACTTACTTCAAGTCCCTGTCACATCGGATGTTTAGACACTAATTTAGAGTATTAAACATACACTAATTACAAAACCCATTCCATAACCTTGGACTAATTCGCGAGACGAATCTTTTGAGTCTAATTACGTCATGATTTTGACAATGTGATGCTACAGTAAACTTTTGATAATTATGGATTAATTAGGCTTAAAAAATTCGTCTCGCGGATTAGCTCTCATTTATAAAAATTAATTTTTTTACTAGTCTATGTTTAATACTCCAAATTAGCGTCCAAACATCCAATGTGACATGGGCTAAAAAGTTTTAGCCCCATCTAAACACCCCCTTAGTACTCGTGTACTGGGACTACTGGTAAGATGGGATCGCGTTTGGTGTCGAGGACGACGACGTGAGAGGTTTTGCGTGCCAAACCACCGCGATTTTGCTTGATGAGAGACTCGGTGGATTTTTCGGCGCGGGCGCCGCAGGCAGCGGTAGCTCAGATCACGTGGCTCCTCGCGCGGCTCGCGACCCGCGGGAACCGCGCGATCGTTTGTTTTTTCTTTCCTTTTCTTTTCTCTTCTGTCTTGTGCCCCCACAGGGTCAAAGGGTCAAATCTCGCATCTCCCGCGCGCGCGCGCGCGAGAGAGAGAGAGAGAGAACGTGTTGCACGATCGGCGAAGGGCGCGGCTGTGCTGTAGCTGTAGCTGTAGCTTGCCCGAAAGAGCAAGCCCTGCAGCAAGCATTTAATCGCGTCGCGTTAACCACACTACACGTCTCGGGGAGCTTAGTATTTCCGTGCCTTGATCCTCTGAATTACTACTAGTATTAATCAGCTGACAGCCAGGCCTTCTCCCTTAGTTTTACCTCTGCCTGTCTCGATCAGCTCCGGTGTACGTCCTGATCGAATCGTGATTGCGTTTTTACTGAGAGTAAAGTATACTCGTTTTCTGAAGCTTTCTGAACCCCATATTAATCGTGCTGTCGTTCGTGCGCACGAGCGAGTACAGAGGGGCATCATCGTGTTGGGTTACCTGGGTACTAGTACTTGGATGCCAGCACGTACGGCTAGATATGCGTGGAAGGAATATTAATCTGCTCCCTCTCCGGTGCCCAGGTTCTTCAATCCACTGATCCTCTCAGTTCACAACGGCATTCAATTCCCCTCCGTTCTACTCGGAAGACGGCCGGCCTCTAGCTAGCTAGTCCGTAAACTAATAAGTTTCTCATACTTCCTGGGGTATCTCTTGCGATCCGCACACTAGGGGTTCCACGGAGTTATTGACCCTTACAATCCAACTTTCTGGCTTGGAGCAGTACGTTGATAAATGACAAATCCTCGGAAGAGAGAAAGAGAGCGAGGCATGCAGACAACGGATCGCAATTCAATCCGGATGCTACGTGCAAGCATACGCGCCATGATCGACACGCTCCCCATCAATCACAGCTGAAATCTCGCGAGGGTGGTGTGCCACGGCCTAACATGCATCCCTTTCTTTCGGCCGACCGAGGAGAGTAGTAGCAAAAACTCACGGGGAAGTCAAGCGCAGAAACGGCAAAAAAGGAGGGGAAAAAAAAAGGAAAACTGATGAGAAAACGAAGCCAAAGTTTGGCTCTGGATCGAATCGGACCCGATCGAGACGACCAAACGTTCGTTGGGATTTGCTCGTGTCGAACTCCAGCGACACGACGCGCCATATCTTATCGTTGCGCCGAACCATTTTGTACCCAAGCAAACACCACTTGCTCTCCGCGGCTCCACCATTAGGCCTAAATAATGCTACTGAAGATCTTGTTAAGTAACCGGCTCTGAGATAGTTTATTTGGGATGAGTTAATCTATATGCCCTGTGCTACGTACAGATCGATTGACTTGCATCAAGTAGTAATAGTTAAAAGTGTTAAACGTGACCAGAATTAGCTAGAATTGCGATCAACGTGGTCAGTATGTACGGTCACTGTATATTTAGCTTTAAACTAGTTCGGCAGAGAAACGGGTTTTTTTTGGGGGACCAGGTCTAGAGTACTGTTAGTAGGTTGTAGTTATATATATACTCTGCTTAATCCCTTTTAAGTTTCAACGCTAAAAGTAAATGCCAAAGCCCAGAACCTTCTCAAGCAAATTAGTAGTTCAATATAGTACCAAAATCAAAATATTTGAGCCATCGGCGTCTTCGTTGATTGAAAAAAAAAAGGAAGAGTTCAAGACTTAAGCCTTAGCAAGAGCAAAACGTTTTTCGAAGACTGTTCCGTAGTCGTAACATAGTTCTCCTTTTACCTTGTTTAGTTAATTTTTTCCCCTGCTATAGTTAATGAAATTGGTACACCTTATATTGGTTCGTTAAAAAAAATCTGAATGTTTGATTTTGACTCATGTGATGAAACAGTAAAAGCAGTGAGAGTCGCTGTATTTGCTTTATCATAATATATTTTGTATTTTTTTTCTTGCATTCTAAACTTTTCTGAAATGTCCAGATTAAAAACAAACAAACTTTTGTTGCTTTAGTTTCAACTGCCTCATGCCGGCCGGTTGCTCAAGTGAATAAAATGTCAACTCTTCTATACAAATTTAAGAAAACTCATATATAATTGTAATATAATGATTATTCTCGTAACAAACCTTGACCATACATTATTTTTGAATCAAACTATGAGAGTCAAACTATCTTTGGTCAAAATTTGACTTATTGGGATGATATTTTTGTTGTTGTTTCAGGGATCGATTTCACTAGCTCCACCTGTTTAAAATGCAAAAGAACCCACCTCTTGAACAAATCTTAGTTTAGGTTTGGGGTTCCCTATGTTCTAAAGCTTTAGATCAGAAGAGGCAAAACAATTTTTTGACTTTTATCTAGTTAAATTTATGTCCTTTTGACTTTTTAGTTAAATTTTGATTGGGTTTGATTAAATTAATTTATAGAAAAATATAGTAGAATTTTCAACATAAAAGAAACATATTATCAAAATATATTCAATATTAGATTCAATGAGACTGATTCGGTGTTTTAGATATTGCTAAATTTTTCTCTAAACTTGTTTAAACTTAAAAAGTTTTGACTAGAAAAAAAATCCTAGCGACTTATAATATGAAACGGAGGAAATAGCATTTTAGGCCGTTTCGATTTGAAGAAAAAACATAGTAAGGAATTTATAGAATTTTATTCTAAAAAATGTTCTTCCTTAAATAGCCATTTGAAATAAAATATTGGATAATATTGAATCCTACAAATTCCTCATTCCGTGCATATTATATAAGAAATTTAACATGATATCCAATCTCATGAAAAGTTTTATTTGAGTCTTTATTTCTTCTTAAATTTCGGTATTTTCCCACCATCTAACTAAACAAACATGTTTTTTCTTAATGTTTTTCAATTATCTATTTTACACAAGTATTATTGTTAAAATCCTATATTTTTTTACGCTGAAATCATATATTCTTTATTATTATTTTTTTAATCCTATGTTTCCAAGAAGTGCTATACGTACAAATGGTTGGAAAATGATGGTTTTATCATCCGATGGTCCTGGTTTTTATCATCCAATGGTCCTGAGTTCTATAATGAAACTATGAAATTAATTAATCATCTACATTAATCAATGAAAAACCTTGCGTAGAAAGGGAAACAAAAGGCTTTTTAACATACCCTGCCCCACCTCAAGAAAGCAAGGCCGCGCGACTATTTATAGCCAGAGGCACTCACTCGCTCACTCGCCGCAGACCGCACTTCCATCGATCTCTCTCCTCGCCACGGGCCACGGCCTTCTCCTAACGGGAGCCATGGAAGCAGACGCGAGCCATACACCCACCACCTCCTCCTCCGTCTCCGTCTCCTTCTCCTCCTCGTCGCTGTCCACTTCCTCCTCCACCTCCTCCCTCGTCGACAATGGCGCGCAAGACCGGCCCAAGAGCTCCAAGCCCAAACACGCCGCCAAGAAGCGCAAGAGAGCGGCCGCGGAGGAACCTGCCAATGCCGCCCACGGCGCAGGGGAGGATACCAGCAGCTGCAGCACCGACGACAACGCGGCGGCGAGCGGCAAGGCGCAGGCGGGCGGCGGCGGCGGCGGCGTCGACAGCAGCAGCACCTGCACCGCCGCCTCGGCGCCGAGGAGCGGCTTCAAGCACCCGTCGTACCGCGGCGTGCGCCGCCGGAGCTGGGGGAAGTGGGTGTCGGAGATCCGGGAGCCCCGCAAGAAGTCGCGCATCTGGCTGGGTACCTTCCCCACCGCGGAGATGGCGGCGCGCGCCCACGACGTGGCCGCGCTCGCCATCAAGGGCCGGAACGCGCACCTCAACTTCCCGGACAGCGCCCACGAGCTGCCCCGCCCGGAGTCCACCTCCCCGGCAGACATCCAGGCCGCCGCCGCCAAGGCTGCCGCCGAGGTGCGGTGCGAGGAGGAGTCGTCGCCGTCGTCGTCGCCCACCGCCGAGCAACCCGAGGAGGAAGCCGCCTGCCCTGACACGGTGCACGCCGACGGCGGCCAGGACAATGCTCTCTTCGACCTACCCGACCTTCTTCTCGACCTACGGGACGGGCTCTGGTGGTCGCCGGTGTGGCCGGCGGCACTGGCGGCCGAGGAGTACGACGGCGGCGACGCCGTCGTGCTCAATGAGCCACTCTTGTGGGCCGAGTAGCCATTTTACCTTTCTGGGCTCATGAATAGGCTACAACGACAACTCTCAAGAAAGAAAGAAAAAAAAGGGAAAAATGTTATTACCGCTATATTTAGTAGTTACTGCTATTGACAAAGTTTAGTCTATGTTGTGCTTGATTAGGCCATGAAGCCTGTGTGCTTTGTGTACCAACAATCAAAAAGATCTCTCTACTAATAGAAGTTAATTAATTCGAAGCAGATTTTTTTTCAGCTGATTGAATTATTGATGTGCATAATTTATTTTTTTTTATGGACATGTGGGTGTGGTGGGCTGCTGGCCGGCCGTTTGGAGGTCGTTTTAATGGTGCGGTGAAACAGCGGACAATCAGCAAAAATCAGAATTGAGATGTATGTGTTGCCTGCTTGCCTCAATGATTTCACAATGAGTTTGGCAGTAAGTGCATGGATTCTTGTGTACATCACTCACCACCAGAGTGCGTTCTCACACAAATTCTCACCAGATTAGCCCTTGCTCATAACAAGTCCGGATCTTGCTGCTGCCACGTCATTATTACGTAATCCCTCCGTCCCAAAAAAAAAAAAAAGTCAAACCCTGAATTTTCGTATCCAACTTTGACTGTCCATTTTATATGAAATTTTTTTATAATTCATATTTTCATTGTTGTTAGATGATAAAATATAATTAATATTTTATGTGTGACTTGTCTTTTTAATTTTTTTTATAATTTTTTCAAATAAGACGGACGGTCAAACGTTAGACACGGAAACCAGGATTTGTCTTTTTTTTTTGACGGAGGGAGTACAGCTCCTTCGAACAAGTACCGGGAGTTAAATAATAAACTATAAAAATGCCAACTGTGCCTTCAAGCTCTTCTACTTCCAGCCTTTCTTTACTACACGTACTGTGCTGGTACTAGTGGTACTGAACTCAATATCTCAACAGTACTAGAAGAGTGAAAAGAAAAGGAGAGGAAGTAGCAAAGAAGGTTCCATACAGTGTGCACACAATGTTCACTTGTCTCTGTTGGTCCGTTTGAGTTCACTAATGAAAATTTAAATACAGATATACAAAATAAGAAAACTATTAACATATAATTAACTAAGTTTTATTTATTTTAAATTTAAGAAATAGATTTATATGATATTTCAAAGCAACTTCTACATAAGAAGTTTCCACACAAAATACGCCGTTTAGCAATTTAAAAATTAAGATAAAAAATCTATATCTTAATTAGAAAATAACAAGGGACTTGCCAATGTAAGTTATGAAAAATAAATAAAACCACAAGCCAATGACTAGAAGGTTAGGTACAGAGCACTCGCACGCCAGTTACCGGTTCCCACAAGAGTCCAAGTCCAACGCCAGTGGCGCAGCGAACCAGTTAACCTCTCCTGGCTCGCCATCTATACCTTTCCCTAATTAATCATCCAATTAGTCGCAAATTGAGGATCTTAGGTACTAGTACACGTTAGCTAGCTAGCCCAAGTGCGAGCTCGCGTCGAGCGCGGGACGAGCAGAGGCGACCGTGTCACATGCACAACACATGGCCAGAGGAGCAAATGCGTTTGCAAGCTGCAGCAGCAGCAGCAGCAAACGCGAGCGAGCTGTCGAATTAGCGACGCAGCGCTGATAATAATCAAAACCGGCTAAACCACACGCATGTACGGTTACATAATGCGTGAAATGATGCCTCTAGGAGAGGATCCTATGACAGAAAGGGGTCTTGTCGTCGTCGCCGCCGGCCCGACCGGAAGCGAGCCGTGCCGGCCGGGCCGGCCGGCGTGCCGATCGGAGAAGGGAACGTTACGGTATGTGAGGCTGTGGTGCCGCACGACTTCAGTCGTTCGCTTTTCTTATTTTAAGGGTGTAAGTGGCTAACCCGTGAACATATTCACAATGTACCTCTATTTGCTGCTGGTTGAGATTGCAGGCGGGCGCGGAGAGGGGAGCGGGCGATTCGCTGGGGATTTCGCAATTTTTTGCGGGGATTTGGACGTGCCAATGCGTGTGACAGTGTGAGCTAAGCAGCTAATCGGTTAGCAAGCACTCAACAGAATGTTGGTGCGACCAGCCGATCGATCGATCTGTTTAATGATTGATTTTATGACGCGTACGTGCCTTAATCAAGCATGCCCTTGATTGAGATTTGCTGAGTATATATATACCACTTTTCCGATAGATGTCACCTGATTTTGTCGTGGAAGTGCCAACGGAATCAGACACGATCGGGATGTCCTTGTGGTTGGGGGATACAGTGAAGTTAAACCCTGGAGGTTGGTTCGCAAGGACTATAGTTAAAAAATTTGTGGGCTTTTGTGTTTTAAGTGCCCACAAGGGTCATAAAAGACCATAAAAGAACTCTAAAATCAATTAGGACTTTACGGTAATATATATTCTACTATAATTATCATCAGTAAAAGTGATCTAAATTATTGATTTATGAGTTCCATTACTACTTAGAAATAACTATTCTACTAGTCTAGAGACCATCGAATAACACCTCAAAATCAATAGGGCACAATAGTACGATGAAATGGAGGTTTTGGTCAAGTTTAATTTTAACCAGTAGTTATAAGAGGCTGTGCAGAAATATCTGAAGCAAAACAGCTCACATTCATATGTATTTGTGAATGTTTAGTTATAGTATATAATCCTTGCATACAAATATATTGAAAAGATGGACAATATTTTCTTTTGGAATAAGAAAAGATGGGCAATATAACAATCGTTCTCTTTATCTGAAGAATTCATTCTGAATATTGTTGCCAGACAATAGTAGCAATCAATCGACTGTTGCTTTGAACACTTTAAAGAGAAAAGCTCTGGCTTTGAATTAGTAAAACTTAAAACAAAAGCTAGCCAGATCACACTTAAAAGAGAGATGTAATTGAACCGTATGTGAGGAGAACGATCGATTGAGACCACCATAATTGGTCAAAAGTCCTTTTCTATTAGAATCAAACACACAAAAAGTTTGTAGTTTGTAACTAATTATACAGTAGGGAATACGATTGACCAGCGTACGTACCGTTCTTCATGTGACAATAATGCCCTGCAGATCCCCATCAGCGTGTTAGTTTCACTGAAACTAACGCATGTGGTCTCAGCTAATTAATTATTCGCATTATTTCGTCTAACAATATGACGCTTCGATCAGTAGAAGTGTAGCTTTCGTGAACTGAGCACCATCTAGTATTATTTCTTCCAGCCGTCTACATAAGCATCATGCTGTTCTTTCAGGAAAAAGACCACTTATATGGAAGTTATGAAGCAAATGGACGTTTTAACCACTCTTTTATTTCGGCCGTGGAGCTCATGGACGTACTAACCACTCTTTACTTGGCTACATATGGGCACATCATACTCATTTGCTCTGGCACTTTGTGATACGTGTTCTAGAATTCCTTGATTTGTTATGTAATTTCTGTCATGTCTCCTATTGTCTCTGCATCCATGGCTACGTACGGCTAGTCGTCGTCATAGCTTAAGAAAAAAATGTTTGGGACAGGGCAGGAAGGTCAAGTCAGAACTGAAGCAAGGCCCGTATTTAGCTACGTATCGCCCTTGTTCACTAAAGTGTTTGATGATAGATATATGGAGTATAAGAAAAGGCTTTTACTCGTTTTTAGATGTATAAAAACATAGCGTGTTTTCGGTTTCAAATTGCCGTCCAAAGAAATGAATCGTCTTGAATGCACTTTCTCGTCTTATTTCGTTCTTTGTTCAACAGTCGTACTCGCGTTGTGCATTAGGTAACATCTAAACCGATCATCTGGGCTTTCGTGCAAAGTTGCCGTCTGTGGCATCTGCTTTTAATTGACCAAATTAACACGATGAATTCCTACTACGGTTGATGCTAGCTACTTATATTTAACTAAGATTCAGAGATTTGCTTTTTTTTTTGAACGAATAGAGATTTGCTTTGAACGTAAAGGTAAAGAGAGAGAAGAATTCTTCATATCATCAGGTTTCACTGAAGTCTGAAGATCCTCACGCTGTTTTCACTCATCATCTCTGTTTAGTTATCTGTTCTGCTTTGACCTTAATTTTTCTGTTTTCTCGAATTGATGCATGCCTTCTCAGCCAAAAAAAAAAAAGTTATCCTCAAGTCTATAAAATACTCTCATTCTGGTCCATTCCAGTAGTTACGAACCACTAGAAATTAAAGCACTCATTGCTTGTCACTATATTCTAGCATGGGGCCAAATGAAAGGTGAGCTCAAATAGCGAAGATTAGTTTTATCCCAGCTTTTTCTCCAGACGAATTTTGGTGTTTGGTCGCAACTTAGCAATCCTTAATAAAGTTTTAAGTGTGATCTTAGGAAACACCTGTATCCCCAATTCTCCAAAGCAACGCCACGAGTTCCTCCCCGTAGGTTTTTTTTATGTTCCCGCGCTGGAATCTCTGGTCGTATATATTTGATTATTCTGTCAGATAACATTATACACGGGGTCATCAATAGTTAAGTTGAAAATTATGGGGAAAGAAAGGGTACTATGGGCTGCATGGCTGCATTTTCTTCACAAAAATAATGGGTTATTGCCAGCTTTGCTTTGCATTATGTTCTTTAGTCTTCTCATCTTCTTATCCCAACAAACACTGCTTTTTCTGTCCCATCTGCTGGTTGACACCCTTTCCATTAGTTTCGCCCGTTTGCATTATTGATTTGTACTTAATTATTGAAACACAATATAAGCACGCAGATCCAAAGATTTGGATCTGTGAAATATAGACGATTCCCATATGTTTGCATTTTAATATTTTGCACGAGGCTAACACCTAAGTACGGAGTTGCCATGTGGCTTGGCATTTTCTGGCTACTTTAATCATTGCTCGATCGTCCAAAGAAACACATTTTGCACGAAGCCAATCGATGCGCCGAGCTCGGGAACAATGAATAATGAAATCTATAGTTTGTGCAGAACTTCAGTATATTGAGATCTTCAGATCAGAGAAGAAACGCGTCCTTAAGCTACATATCATGGCGTGATTTTACACCTTTTTTCTCTCTCTCCGTTTGCATGTCATTCACATTTCTTTGGGAGAAGAAAAGAAATAGTGCCACTTTAATTGTTGTGTCTTCCACACATTGACTTAGAGCCACAATATATATACATGGATGGTGCATCACATTGCCTTCATCTCCACAGACGACAGCTAGCTAGTCAGCCAACTTGTTGATCACTCCAACTTACAGTGACAAGTTGCAGCAAGAAACGCCAGTAGCTCGAGTGATCACTGATCACTAGCAAGCAATCTTGGTTTTCGTCGCGTGCTAGCTCGTCACACACGAATGGAGCAAGAGCAAGTGATGTCCCAGGAGAGCAATAGCTGCACCTGCAGCAGCAGCAGCAACGACGCGAGCTCGGCCGCCTGCAGCTCGCTCAACGCGTCGTCGCCGAGCTCCGTGGACTCCGGGAGCGCCGGCGGCGGCGGCGGCGGCAAGAAGCGGCCGCGCAGTGATCACCTGAAGCACCCGACATACCGCGGCGTGCGCATGCGGAGCTGGGGCAAGTGGGTGTCGGAGATCCGGGAGCCCCGGAAGAAGTCGCGCATCTGGCTCGGCACGTTCGACACCGCCGAGATGGCCGCGCGCGCGCACGACGTCGCGGCGCTCGCCATCAAGGGCCGCACCGTGCACCTCAACTTCCCGGACCTCGCGCACCTGCTCCCGCGCGCCGCCTCGGCCTCGCCCAAGGATGTCCAGGCCGCCGCCGCGCTCGCCGCGGCCACGGCTTCGCCCGCGCCCGCGCTCTCGCCCACGCCATGCCACGACGTCGACGCCGCTGCCGATGACGAGCCCGAGCCGGCGGAGCCTGAGCAGGCGACGGCGCCGGTTTGCATCGTTGAGAACGGGACACTGCAGCAGGACGGCGGCACTGGACTAGACTACACGTATTTCACCATGCCAGATGCTCTTCTAGAGTTCGGGTTCACGTTGCCGCCGCCGCCGCCGCCGTATTATTGCGGTTCGCCGTGGGATGACGATGCTGACGATTTCTTCTTTGGTGAGCCACTGGTGCTCTGGGAACACTGACCACAACGCCGGCACGGTGAATGCATGCATGCATGGACAATATTTCCATTTTTGTCAAAGCATGCACGGACTATGTTTATTTTAGATGCTTTCTGTCAATATCTAGGTCAACTTGAGAGTGTTACTGACCACTTGGCTTAGTCTCTTCCACTCCGATGAGGCGATGATAGCATCATTAGTTAAAGATTGGACCAATATGTTGATTTTTGTCACATGTCAATAAAATTCATATATATTGTTTTACTAAATATTATACTCCCTCCATCTACTTTTGATAGACATATTTTTGATAGGCATATTTCAATTCAACAACCTATCCTCTTAATTTATTTTTGATAGATATATTTCAATTCAACAACATATTCTCTTAATGACTTTCTCGGATTTAATGCATGACTCTCCATTCTTCCACACAAGATTGGCTACATGAGCATCGAGAAAATGTAAATATTAATGAATCGTTTGTTTACGAGGAATGACTAGTAGCATGTTTAAATGGATGATAAGTAGAATTAATTATCCTTGGTCTGTGTATCAAGATGAAATATGACTATCAAAAATAGATGGAGGGAATAATTGAGTTGGAATTGTCTATATATGCCCGGCCTTACATTTTCTCCACACAGCCTAATAGCCAATCAATTTTTGGCCCGGTAGCCGATGACCCAGTGTCTATCATATACTCCCTCAATCTACTTTTGATAGTCATATTTCTAAATCTAAAAAAAATTATTTTTGATAAGCATATTTCAATCCAACAACCTATCGTCTTAATGACTTTCTCGAATTTAATACGTGACTCTCCATTCTTCCACACAAGATTGGCTACATGGGCATCGAGAAATGTAAATATTAATGAATTGTTTGATTACGAGGAATGACTAGTAGCATGTTTAAACGGATGATAAGTAGAATTACCTATCCTTGGACTGTGTGCCAAGATGAAATATGACTATCAAAAGTAGATGAAGGGAGTATCATCTCTCTGGTTGATCCTCCTTTCTGTCAAAGTTCTTACTTCCAAACAAATTGGGGCTACATTTTCTTTTTAATTTCCATTTAAGAGTTTCAATCAATTACTACCCAACCCTAACCCACTTCATCAGCTAGCATCAGCCATCAATTATATCCACCATCTATGTGCATGTTTTGCAGGACTCCCTTGGGATGCCCTAATTAGCTAAAGATAAAGCTAAAATTTGAATTTTCAAGCTTAATTTTAATATTGACTTTAAAATATATTCAACATATATAGTTCTTTTTCAGTATTGGTTTTTAAATTACCAAAAACACGTATATAAAAAATTATCAATAAATTAATTTTTATTCCCTAATAAACCAAAACGGCTTATTCCGTATATGGCTAACTGATGGGACTCGCAACCTCCTGACCATCAGCAATTTATGGCTCCCTATTTTGAACGGTAAGATTCATCACCATTAATTGCCTTTCATCTCTTAAAAACTATTTGCCTCTTGGCCCCACTGGTCACCACATGCTCAACCCCATCCCCCACCCAAGGCCTACACTTAAACTCCAATAAGTCATGCAACTGCTAGAGTTCACCATATAGCTTCACACTCAAATATTGACATCCATAGTAAGGCATACTACTACATAAACGAATTTCTAATCTGGTCAAAATTGATTTTCGCAGGCGGATGGATGGCTCACCTGCACCTAGGTATCTGCGAAAATCACTATTTCTGTATGCGGGTACAGCAATTGCATGTGGAAATTGTGTTTTCGCATGCAGGTACTTAAGTCGCTTGAAGCTGCCCATGGATCCTCGCGAGTAGGGGCGGAGAGGCTGGCGGATTCGCCTGAGAGTGGGAACGGGCACTGGATCCACCCCTCCCGTCACCACCACCGACAGATCCTTGCACACCAAGGGGGTTGGGAGGTGGAGAGGAGGTGGGATCCGCGCGGGAGGTGGAAGGGTGCCTGATCCGCCTCTCACATCGCCGCAGCCGGTGGACCCGCGCATGTGGAGGGCGGAGTGATTAGGGGTAGAGAGGCTGGCGGATCCGCGTGAAAGGGGAAGTGAGCACAGGATCCACCCCTCCTGTCACCGCCATTGACGGATCCTTGTGCACTGGAGGGGCTGGGAGGTGGAGAGGTGGCGGGATCTGTGTAGAAGAGGGAAGGGTGCAAGATCCGCCCCTCACATCGCCTCGGCCAGTGGACCCGCACGCGTGGGGGGCGGAGAGGCAACGTGATCATCCATGCCAGAGGGAGAGGTGGCACCGGATCGGCTGGAGTCTGAGTTTGTCGATAACCTATGTCCTCCCGCTTGACCCTTTCCCAATCTCGCCTACGAGATACAAGCTCGTACCTCCAAGCTAGCCAGCCAGATCAACCTGGAGTTGCCGACAATCTTCACCTCCTGCTCCGCTCTTCCCTCCAATCTCGCACATTTGAGCTTGTTGGCGATGTCCACCTCATGCAAAGGTCCTTCCACAAGCTCACCGACTGAATCTGAGCACGTAGCACCCTTGCCGTCCAACGCCAAAACAGTGTTGCGGATGCGGGCAAACTAAGGAGAATGTAAAGGGTGATGGCATCCTAATGCAGGCGGACAAGAGCGGTGACAAGTTGTATGATGTGGTACTCTTGATAGGGGGTGCGCCGGGGAAGATTCGAAATACCCACCACATCCTTACTATCGAAAGATTGGATTTTGTTTGGTATCTCATAAACTGAAAATACCACCTCAAGGATGACATATTATCAAATGTTTTTTAATTATCTTATATTATTGAAGGTTTTGTTGTAACATATCATTTGGCCCCGTTTTGACAATGTGTTGTTTAATTTCATAAAACAACGTGCTATTCTTAATTAAGATAATTAATCAAGCCAGCTCGCTCTCCACAAACTAGCTTAGCTAGCGAGCCCCACACTGCCAGAACACTATACTCACAAGTTTGTTATTCCAATTTGGCTATGGACGTTACACGTCCCCAAAAATAAATAAATAAACGAAGCAATGGACACAATCATGCAACGCACAAGAAATATTCTAGAATTAACGAGCTAACTACCGTTCTGTCTCTTCTTGTCTTCAGCCGTTTTACCTTTAAAGTTTCTTCCTTGCCCAATGGCTCCTTTCCACATGTATGACCTTATATGAACCATCATGAGCAATCCCTACATCAATACGGAGTATTAGACCATTCCCAACCCAAAACACTATACATAATTTTCATAAACTCTACATCATCAAGAAATTAGTACTAGACACTACTCTTCCAATGCAAACACCACTATCCATACTTAAATTTAATGCTACTTATTTCACATGATGTCTTGGATATTGTGTAGAAACTATGTCTCATGCAAGACATGGTTTTCTTCTCTTTTCTCATTTATTCACTTGCCACATCATTTTTCATCCTAGATGGCAGCCTATTTAATGCTATGGACACCATCTTAGTTATTAGGTTGGGAATAGCCTTATACTACTAAGTTGTACCATCCCGGCCGGGAGATTGGTCATGACATACAAAGATCGGAGACGGTAAGGTGTAGTTAGTGGCTGAAAAGTTTTTAGTATGGTTGGTAACCCATATGCATGTGGATGCATGCAATAGTTAGCGCCCGCCTCATCACCTAATTAATTAAACTACAAAAATCTACACGCCGGCCGGCACACAAATTTCTCGCGATGAGGTTAGTTGAGTCGGGTCAATATTCCTGGTACCTATGGCCTTTCCATTGGTTTCTAGCGCGATTTCATTACGTCGATTAAAGAATCGGCATGTGAGTCTTAAAAAAGACATGTGCTTGGGAGGTTAATTAGCTTTAGGGACCAGAAGTGTGTTGGCGACAGTTTGGAGCATACGGGATCGTAGGACGACAGCATGCACAATCCAAGTTTTTCCATGAATTCACGCATATTATTATGAGTACATCAGTACATCGGTGTCGCTGTAGAGACTTAAGAGTTAATTGTTTACTGTTTAGGCGGCATCTAGAGTGCCGTTTTGTACTGGCTTGCGGGACGCCATGGAAATGGCACCTTCTGTGCTTTCATGCATGTGGGTATATTATTGGGTTAACATGCTTGATTTGATGCGCACATAAGTCGATTTGTTTGCCAATTATTGGGCTTCAACTTGACTGCGAGAATAAACAAACACATGCATGGGGTTAGTCTGATGTAAGTACGTTCTAATTGACGGTTTTTCATAATTCTTAATTTACTATTTCTGTGCGGCCAGGGGATTGGAGACGTGTGTAGACCAAATCGCCAGCATATTTTACACTCCTAAAAGTGCAACTGTGTGACAAGTTGGGGACCTGTAACCCTGTAGATAGTAGCTACTACCTTTGTCCCAAGATATAGAAAGTTTTAAGCTTGGACACGAGTATTAAAAAAATAGATAATATTAAATGGAAAAAATTTGTGATGGGTTGAGAAAGAGAAAGTTGGTGGAGAATTTGAATGGTGGAAGATTATAATTGGTTGAGAAGAGAATGTAGGTGAAAAAGTTGCTATATTCAGATAAATTTTGAATGCTAGAATTGTTATATTTTGGAACGGAGGGAGTAGGTACTCTCCATGTTGCTATAAGTGAATGGAATACAGGCCGAGTTTAGTTCCAAACTTTTTCTTCAAACTTTCAACTTTTCCATCACATTGTTTCAATTTCAACCAAACTTTTAATTTTAATGTGAACTAAACACACACACGTTTGTTACCCAAGGTAGATTCAGAGCAACGTCAAAAAGGGTAACCCAGCGAATAGCTTCGCTAGTTAATGATCCTTGTCGCCATACATTGTTTACTGTACTGAGTAAAGTCCGAATTAAATGAGTCTCCCCTAATTCATTCCTCATCTACCCTATAGTTCAACAAATACTTTCACTCATTCTTTCATTCGTCACTCAACGGTCCAGATTATCCCTAAGAGATTTGACGTCCAGAATAGCATCCGCCTTCCCTCACCCCTGCACCCCCGAAATCGTCGCACTTTCCTTCCGATCGCGAAATCCATCTCCTCCGCCAGTTCTCTCGCCCATCACGCCTATGCACGTCGCCGCCCCCGTCGTCTCCCGACGCTCGCGCCCCTACCCGCCGTCCAGACGGCATCGCCCACTCCGCCGTCGCGCGCCGCACACCGCACCCGCCCTCCCACCCCGCCAGTTGTCTCCTCTACTCGCCACTCCGCCGTTCATCGCCCTTCTCGCCGGTCTCCTCCGCACCGCCCCCGATCTCCACCAGGAACTCCGCGTCGCCGGTCTCCTTCGTGCCGCCCCCAATCTCCG